GTATTCAATTTATGTATCAAATTTTTTTATATAAGGGCTACTGATATTATCTCACTGACCAAATGAAAGTAAATAGCTAGCGGGGAACTAAATTACACTGTAGAAAATATTTGCTTTGATCACTGAAATTGTAAACTACTATAATAAAATTGATTGAACTGAATATTTGATTATAACTAAATATTGGACAGGATTTTAAATACGTATATTTCATCTTATTGAAAGTGTATAACGTATATTGCAGTAGAAAAATAATTTTTTTATTGAAATCATGAATCGATGAATGATAGACCACCATTGAAAACCTGAAAGCACTAGAAAGTCGTTTCATCCTAGCATAGGACTCCTCAGCGGCGCACATCCACGGTTCCGCACCCGAGATCCGTACCCAGGACCTTCCGTCTCGTGAGAGAACACCTGATCTCTAGTCCACTGAGCCGGCATCCAACGGTGTTAATGCCTAACTTTAACCAATCCACGAAATTACGCGACCATCTTCCATTATCTGAGGTAGGTACCTGCTTCTGTCTGACACAGAATAGTTCTACTTGGACACTAATAGCGTTGGTTGTCAGCTCAATGGTCTAGATATGAAATGTTCGCACGCGAGACTGAGGGTCCTGCGTACAAACTCCGCGTGCAGAGTCGTGGAGTCCCATACTCGGAGGAAACGGCCTTTCAATACTTCCAGGTTTTCAATGGTGGTCTAACATTTCTTGATTCACGATCTTAATCAAAAACTTAATAATTCCACAACCCCACATTGATGATGACAAATAATTGTCAAATTTTTGCTAGAAATTTAAACCTGACTATTGAAAAGAAATATATCATTGAATATATTCTTGTACATAATAATGTAAATAACACTGTATAAATTCAACTTAGTATTGTTTGTTTGAATCTTCCCATCGATTTGTAAGGACTGCAACTGGTCAGTCTCCAATTGGCATATGTGCATACTGTGCGTATTGCCTCGATATACCTTAATTCACAAGCATGGTTAGCAGAGATGGATAATGGCTAGCAGTGGAATCCAGGACGCGCGTTTCGTCCTATTCGGGACTCGTCAGCTGGATGTACCTGCATCTCAGATTTGTTGATGTTCACTCTGGGACTCGAACCCAGTACCCTCGCTTCAAACGCCATCGCGTTATCCACTCGGCCACTGAGTCCTGATAGCCACTCGCTAGTCCTAACAAATCGATGGGAAGATTCAAACAAACAATACTAAGTTGAATTTAAACTTCACCCCATCGCACAAGAAAGTGGCTATCAGGACTCAGTGGCCGAGTGGATAACGCGATGGCGTTTGAAGCGAGGGTACTGGGTTCGAGTCCCAGAGTGAACATCAACAAATCTGAGATGCAGGTACATCCAGCTGACGAGTCCCGAATAGGACGAAACGCGCGTCCTGGATTCCACTGCTAGCCACTATCCATCTCTGCTAACACTGTATTAGGTTTTAAGATTTCAATAGATTAAAATGAACTTGATTTGCTAACTGTTATACCATTAAGAAAATAGGTGTAAAATATGAAAGTAACTGAAATATTAATTTTTTATACTTTCAAATTTAGTCGGAAATATAAACAACAAGATGATATCAAATCCATATAAGTGAAAACCTCCCTTGAAAAAGCTTGGACCAGATTGCAATGCGAAACGTTGGATTTACTTCTAATTCATTCGCTGAGATTTTACAAATGTATTATTCCTATTTAATGTCATACATCAACTCGGCGCTTGACCACTGTGAAACTATTCGTTCTAATTTAGACGAAAGTTCTTATAAATAAACCTTTTTTCTTTTAAAAAAGTTAATGGCTATCTGAAATTAATTAAATACTGAATAGTATATAAGTATTTGGTATAATAAATATTAGGCTCAAATCTCAAAGTTAACTTTTGCGTTGAAATACAAATATATTCATCTGATAAGTTTCAAATTGGACAAAATACTCTTCTTTGATTAGACCACTAACCGCGATCAAAATATACTAAAACGTGTTTCGTTATTCATTAGAAGTTGGATGCTAAATTTTTAAAAAAGTCATCATTTTTCTGAAGATTTTCAACTGTAATCTTCTTAGTTTGTATTTCATTAGATTCACAACTCATCTATTGAATGTGTCAATAAGCTATATATTACAAATCATGAAATCGAATAGAAGAAACATTTATGATTACGCATTTCTCTATTTGTCGAACGTATTTAGCAGATAATTAACGTTATAGTTCTTCATTTAATGTTGGCAAAATACCAATCCATTAAACAATTTACTTCTTTTGAATTTATGGTCAAACTCATTCGCTTCCACTACTTAAATATGATTGTTATGCTGGGCAAAAGAATTCTTATATATGTATTAGTTAGTTAGTTGGTAGAGAAATATCAGTATTAAAGATGAATTAAAATAATTTGCATTACTGTTTAACATCCATTGGAACATTAATCAAAATTGAATGTGATCGAACAACTGATAAGCTCTAGTTCAGGATGACTTATATGGAATTTAAAAATCCAATGACCTATTTATTTTACATTGATCATGAAATCCTTGAACCACTGATTTTGTGGTTACCGAAAAACGTACTGAGTTATATTTATTTACTCACAATACCTAATAACCAGGTAGTGTCCATGAGACCTTGAGGGGTTTAGGATTCGGCCCCTAGAGGATGGTGTACCTGCACAGCAAAGCAGTTATATAGCAGGATGAAACAACTCTCTGGTTTCCAGTGCTATTTTAAATTGGATCAATCTGAGACAAATACGACCTGCATATATTTAAAATCTAGGATGTAAGATATGTCAATATGGCGTGACGGAGATTATTGAACTTCATTAAAATCACAAATCGATCTAATTTGAACAACTACCTAAAACCTGAAAGCACCGGACGACCGCTTTTTTCCTAGTATGGGACTCGTCAGTAATACACAATCATGACTTCGTGACCAAGAATCAAACTCGAGGCCCTCGTTCTTGCAGGCGGATGCTTAACCATTAGACCGTTGAGCCAAGATCCAATGACTGAGGGGGCAGTATCGTGTGTTTATTGAGGTAAGACATGTACATAATTGGATCCGGTTCAGTGGTCTATAGTATATGCATTCACGCGCGAAAGAGAACGTCCTGAGCTCGATTCCAGGTTGCCGGGTCATGGATAAGTACTGCTAAGGGACCTCACAGTAGGACGAAACAGCCATCCAATGCTCCAAGGTAATAACCATTATGTTTGAAAAGCTGTAAAAAAATTTAATTTTTTTTTCATACTGCGTATTTACTATTTTTGATTGATTTACCATTGAATTTATGAAGTTTAAATTAAGTACTTAAAATATTTTTCATAGTTCCTCATAATATTCTTAGACATTATTAAATGACAGTGATTCATTGAATTAGTGAAAATCATAATGTGTAATACGCCAATGTGCCAATATTTTTGAAACCGAGAAATAAAGAACGAAATCAATGAAAATTAAAATTGCTACTTGTTAATTTAATGACGTTCTTTATATATAGATATACAGGTCAATCATTTGCTATAAGACCTTAATATTCTAGTTTCGACTTCCAATTTAGTGATGGAAACCCCCGTTAGGACAAAACATCTGTCCATTACTTTCTAGTTTTCTGTGGTTGTTAACGTTAATACTTATAATTATTTTTTTTTTCGAAAATCCTACATTCTCATTTCTGGATTTTTTTTTACTACCATTTTTCTTTTTGATTTGGTAAAATAAGTATTACCAAGACGATTTCTCACATGTTTATATGTTACAAATAAGTGATAAATTATTACTATGACTCCATATAATAAAAAGGAATTTTTTGCGAAGAAATAAAAAACAATATGAATCATTAATAGTAATAATAATGGTGAATGATACTTAATGTCATGTACACTAATTTTAAGTATTTATACTCAAACTCAATCGATTAGCATTGAATGTTGATCATTGTAGTGGAAAGTAATAATTTGTAATAAATACTTTGTATTATTAATAAATGATTGAGATTTATGTGTCAGTTGACTGTAAGAAATAAAAAAACGAGAAAAATATGCCCTTTTGTATATTAAGAATTACATTTTTCGGTTGTAATTGATCAGTTTGTATCGATGCACATGTGTATTCTTAATAGATTGCCTTAAGATTAACACTTTTGGTTATGACTTTTTTAGCATACACCAATCTTAGTGTAAACACTAAAACTGCAATACTGACACATTCAGTTCGCAATTCCTAAATATGTGTTTTGAAAAGGCAAATGATAATCTATCCTCACTTTTTTATGGATATGTACAATTGTGTTCGTTTGTGAAGTATAAAATAATTGAGGTATTATGGTTTACTACTGATAAGTGGATCGTTTAATATTTGTAAGAATCAATAATCTATATTTACTGGTAAGTCTTATTTGTGTTTTTCTTAAACTCAGGAATAAGTGCTTACTCCGAATTAAAATTAAAATAATACTCAGTTGATACAATCACATAATATATATAGTTATTATTATCGTCACAGGCTTACATGATCTGAACGAAAAATGTGTAAAGAAAAGAACTGGACAATGTCTTCGTTTTAACTTGGGACTATTTATAAGTTTCGAGTGGAAAGTTCATATGATTTTAGAACTACAATTTATCTATGAAAGTAGTTTTCGCTGAATTCAAGAACTGTGAGTCTCAAAATAGAGTTAATACTTGCAATAGTGACATTAATTTTATTATTGAATACTTTTCCCATATATAGCTTATTCAGTAAGGGCTGATTAATATGTGTGGCTCCAAGACACATTCTAAGTATGAGTACTAGTATATTACTTGATAACCTAGACCAAAGTCGGTGGTACGAGGTTCCAGCTTGCTACTAAGTATATGAAATGCGAAAGTCTTAACAATTGAACTAATACCCTAGCTTTGCATACAAATATCATAGACATGAAGTTAAAGAAAATACAACAAAAATATAATAATAATAATATAACATACCAGTATGTGTTCTTTTATGAATTTTTAAATTTTCACTACGTGCAAATACTTTCATACATCCACTAAATGGACATGGAAATGGTTTCTCACCAGTATGTACGCGTATATGATTAACTAATTTATATTTTGCTTTAAATGGTTTGCCATCTCGTATACAATCTTTCCAATAACATGTATGATCTAATTGTTCTGGACCACCAACATGTTCTAAAGTTATATGATTAACTATTTCTGTAACTGAATCAAACACTCTAGAACATGGTTTCGGTATAGAACCAGGTATTGTAGGTACTGGATCAATCCATTGACAATAATATAATTCATTATTAATTGAATTTCTTACTTCACCAGTTGGTATAGATGTTAATGTAGTGGAAGCTACATGTTGGTTCATTGATAAACGATTAGATAAAATATGTTGTGGTACGTTATATAATTCACATGTTGCAGAAGGTAAACAAGATGATGATGTTGATACAGAAGAATAGGTTGATAACGGAAAATTCGTCTCTGAAATATGACTATTTACATTAACTTGTGATGAAATCGGAGTAGACGTTAAATAATTTATTGATTTTGTACGTCCTATTGTTTTATTACAAATATTTGAGTTATTATTATTATTTCCTAAATATCTGTCATTCAAATGACGACAAAGTTGTGTTGTATTTGATCGTGAAGGGGATAACATCATTGATGGTTGTGTATAATCAAAAGATGTTGAGTGGACAGCCACGGCAGCAGCTGCTGCAGCAGCTGCCATCCCTGTTGAATATGAAGATAAAAAATTTGTTGAATATTGAGCACTGATAATTGATTGAGGCCATATATTTGCCACTGATGTATCACATGATCCAATCGATTGTGAAGTATCCAATAAATCTTCATTCAATGTCGGTGGGGTAACATAACATTGAGGATATAATAATTTTAAATGATTCGCGCTAATTGATTCTTTTGACGAATTTATTTGTTGTAAACGATTCAATGAATGATGTGAATTTGAATTAATAAAATTTTTATCATTACTTGTCTGATTTGATAAATAAGATAGAGCATAATTTAAATGTCCACGATTATTATAATCGATTGCTGTTTCGGGCATTAAAGTTGACGAGGATATCGAAGTAGATGAAGATGAGGACGATGACAACGAAGACGGTGTTGACAATGAGTTAGTTGTATACGGTGCAGTAGTTGGAAATAAACTGTTAGTATCAGTTACATGTCTAGATTCATTTGATAACTGATAATTTTCAATATTAGGTACATTAGCTATGTAATTAGACGGTGCTGCTCCTGCTCCGGGCTGTGGTGGTGGTGGGGTTGTTGTAGTAATTTGTGACAACTCCCGATGTTGTTGTTGGTGATGATGATGGTGTTGATGAGATGATTGTGATACCGTATCATTTGGATAATAATGTGAATAAATCAGTGGTGTATTTGATAGATGGGAAGCTTGTGATCTTAAATGGGATTGTGACTGAGTATTTACCCCAGGTGGCAAAAAATTGTATAATTGTGTGTGCATCTTGTTTTTATCTGTTTTTTTTTGTTTGCAATGCTGTCGTTGAATTTATCTGAAGGGGGAAATCGATATCGAAAAAATTGAATTAGTTGTTAACTGTCTGTAAGCGTGTGTTGACCTATTTTAGAAAAGATACTCAGTTGGAATTGTATTCAATTAGTATTAATCAGTATGAAACATGTTAGGGTCTTTTGGAACCCTACTGAATGATCGACAGGTTGTCTAATATAAAATAGAGGCCATAAATTATTTCAAATTATTGCCTATTTAATGCCACGTGGTTTCTTTGCCGTTTGTAATTTTCTGTATTCAAATGAACGGGAAATATATTGGTATATGATTATAGTTGACAAAGCCTTGACGACAGAAACTTCAGTGATATTATTACTCACCAGAATGTAGTACACTTGCAAAACTACAAGAATATACTTCTTGAAGCCCCCTTACCGCGTAGTCAAGTAGTACACTGTCCGGGAGGTTTTGATTGCACGCTGAGTGATGACACTTTGCAAATGGTCAGCTTTATTCCCTGCTGCGCCTGGTATCAACAGATTTATCAATGCTGTATTATGAATACAATTTGACTTTAAGTTAACGAATATTTTTTACCTGTCTATCAGGTAGCCATATCTGATTAGGATGCTGTTATGCTATAGGTTAAAAATATTTAACCACCTACTAAAAAAAATAACGAATCATTATGGTGTCCCAAAATACAATAGGGTGGTATGTCTGACATGCCACCTACAGTGAATATAATTAAGGGGTAGACAAAAATAGTTAATACGGTGTTTTATATTTGACTATTTTGTTATGATAATAATACTGTAATCTAGCCGTAAAATACTATGAAATGATTGGCAGGAATAATGTGGATTAATAATAGAATTTTATTATAAAAGTAAAATAAAACTAAGAAAGCCATAAATTTATCTGGTCATGTGATTGGTGAACCAAATTCATTATGCTATTGGTAAATAATGTTAGCAAAAATCTGATTGGTCAAAATGTCAATTACCCTAAAATGATGTGGGAGTTAATTATGATGAAGTAGGTAGAAAAATAATTATTTTGTCTCATATATATTGATTCTACCTTCTTAATCATGTAAAATACTATTTTTTTTTCTCATATGTACTTATATTCGACAATGTATTTGAGATTTTCAAAACAATAATAATAATAAGGAATGTTGTGAAAATCACATTTTATGTCATAGGATAGACTTAAGCGTCATGTATTTTTAATGATTCATCTTAAATTGCTAATTATCATGTAATAGGTATTTGAAAGAATGTTATCTAAATTTAGATCTGATGTTTACAGGAGTATGAAAAATAGTTTAATGATAACTATTCATCAAGTTCTTGGGAGTCCTTCTCTTATTCTCAGTTATCTTTGTTAAGTTTTTATAGTTAAGTATTACAATGAAATGTACTTACATTTGAAAAATTGATTCCATATTGTATTCTTAAACTTTGATTTCAAGTGTTAAGATTTGGCATGAATTACAAATTTATTCTACGAAATAAAATTGAACTAGTTGCTTTGATTTTGAAAGATTGAAAACATCAATTGAAATGTTCAAAAATCAATAAATTGTATAGAAATAGCTATTCTATTTAATTAATGTCACCATAAAAAATTTTTTTTAGTGAAAGTAAGAAATAGTCATTATTTATAGTGTAAATCATGGGTGTTGTCTTAATCGAATATTATATGTATATAATGTCAGCTGATATCCATTAATTATGATAATGTTAGTAGCAGTATGAGGAAATCAGAGAAAATTAGAAAGAAATTTTAAACATAATGACACGTTGATATGATTTGAAAATGATTAATATGGTCGTAATCGATTGATAACCAGTCTTGAAATCAAGTTCCTGAAGTGTTAAATAAAATGATATTTATCGTTAGATCAGAGAATGTACTATGCATTTTCATTGAGATTCGCTTGTTGAGTATGACCTCCTAAAGAACAGTTAAGATATCGTTGAAATGTCCCTACTAGTTATGCTACAGTGCTGTTGATAGACATGAAGGCTTTGATTTCAATTCCTGTGTAAAGTACTATACTTGTAAAAGGACTTACATCGACTATTTCCTGATGCTGTGTAGTCGACAGGAAGTCATGCTTGATTTAATTTTCATAATACTTGGGACCTGTTTGAATGGAATGTCTGCAACATTGAGACACCTGACACTCTCTATAGAATTTGAACCCTCACTATCCACTTACGCAGTCGTTGCAATTTCGGTGTAACCACTGAGCTATTTGAGCAGTAACTGACCTGTAGTACTGAGATAATTATAAATTATAGATCGGAGTAGTGATTACTTTGAGCCACCTAACATCTGAATGCAGTGCATTTGGTTTCGAATAATTCAAACTGATGGTCACATTACAATATGATCCATGGAATTTGCTAAGCACAGTAAACCAGACAAACATAAAACCGATCACCAATCAATGATCAATCGACTGTAACCATTTCCTAATTTAATTATGATTAACATTTTGTGATGTAAAAAAAGTCCATGTGTTTGTTTAATTCACCATGGTTTTACAAAGTTTAGTAATAATTTTCACTGTTGAAATCATGAATCGATTGAAGCTAGACCACCATAGAAAACCTGGAAGCACTCGACGGCCGTTTCGTTCTATTATAGAACTCCTCAGCAGTGCGTATACACAATCTCGCCTCGCGAGATTTGAACCCAGAACTATGAAAATACTGAAATCTCCACAAAACGCCTTCTGTTTAGTAATAATCTAATTTTTTACGAAAAAGAACGAAAAGAATCACAGTAGTGTAATTCAGATATTAAAAAGAAATAACTTGAATAAAACAAGATCATATGATACTGTATATTATTTTGTCTTTTTCTCTGTCGATCGACATAGTTATGTCAATTGATTATTATTGTTTCTTATGAGAGGGGGAAACGTCATTCCTTACACTTCAACACTTACCTATCTTATAGCATAAGTCTTAAGTTGATGATTAAAATCATGTTAATGATTTAATTTAATTTTCTATTTTATTTTTCTTTCTCACTTAAACTATTCCACATTCATCTGATTAAAATATTATTGACGGACTGAAATTGTAAAATATAATCGTACTAACATTACTTATTTATAATCAGATCAAAGTTAAGTATTCATACCAGGTGCATATTTAACTTTTCAAGTCGACTTTAATTCTCAAGAAATCCAAAGAACAAATGGAACAAATCTATTATGTAATTCTATATGGATTTATTTATTCCATGGTATATATGTGACAAAAGGTTATAGAGAGATGAGAAATAAGTTGAATGTATATCTACTGAAGTATCATGTTAGTTAATCAATAAGTGTCAATCATTAAAATGTATTTTTTTTGTTCCCTTAGAAAAACAGTAGAATAAAGTAATGAAATAGATTGTAATGATTAACATAATTTTGAATTTTTTCTATACAAATGTGATGTTAAATCACTAAAACAGAACAAATATTCTTGTTTCATATTTAGTTTGTCAGGTTGAACACAGATAACTGACATTATAGAAATGACATCATCATTAGAAGGGGGTTGAATTATCCGAAACTGCTTTGATTTAAGTATTTTTGCTGCAAGTTACGTAGAACAGATGAATTACTGCTAGTAATGAAATCTAGGTTGAACGTTTCGTACTGTTTGGAACTCGTTAGCTGAATGTGTTTGAGTTTCATAGCCGATGTTAGAGATAAGTCTCAAACTCAGTACCTTTAGTATCAAACACATGAAGAGTTATCCATTGAGCTATTGGGTTCAGATAACCACTAATTATTTCAACTATACCATTCAAATATGCTGAAAGAGCTTGCTCAAAGTCAGTCAATAATATTGACAAAAGAATGATTCGAAAATTTCTTAATAATGAAGTAAATATCATACATTAAAAAATCTAGTGCCTATCTGGACACAGTAACTTAGTGGATAAAGTGTTTGGAGTTTGAAGTGAAGGGTGCTGGATTCGAAGTGAAATGCGAACATTACATTGGAATTCATGTACGCACGTGTTACAAGTCACAAACGGAAAGTGACGTATATATTGGACCCCATTTCTAAACACAATTTATCTATCCTTTAAACGAAAACTACAATACAAATTACTTACTTACTTTCCGTACGACTGGTAAATAACTTTTCGATATGTGTCATAACTTATTCTATTTTCAGTTTATATCAATGACTTAGTCTATGAAGACTTATATTGAATGTTGCTTGCATTAGTTAAGAAATTCATAACTAACATTTGGCATTTCTCGGATTACTGTCACACTGTAATCTTTGTAAAACTTTTCAAACATCGTTTTCCACACCGTTAAATCTGATGGAGTAATAATGTATATCGTCGTTCAGTACATAATAAGTTAAATATTATTACCATTCTCTTCTGGTTTCAAGGCTGAAAGTAAACTATTTTCACTAAACTACATTTAACTATGAACCAAATGATATTTATGAGTATAATTCATTACCATAAAACGACTATAAGTTTCTTCAATTGAATGTATTTTCGAAAGAAGGTAATCTGTTTCAAAAATGGCTGTTTTATCTCAGTGCCCAAGATAAAAAATGTGGTTAATGCCTTAACAAAAACTTTGTTTTTGAAATAATTGAAGTCATGGAATTATTTTATCAAGACAACCACTACAAACGGCAAATCTGTGGACATGTGTCCTATCGGGATTTAAAACTCCACAGCAATGGTGTGCACCCACGAAATTACTGGAATATTTTTTTGTGGTAGATGCATTACATTTAGATCATTGAGTTAACATCCACTGACTTACAAAGCTGGTTTCATTAGTGGGTTTAAAAATAGCAACACGGTAATGTAATGGTATAATAAAATTAATGATGGTCTAAAAATAAATTAATTTATTAAATCAGTCCTCTGAATCTCAACTGGATAATTATTGGGATACCAAAAAGATTGGCCAGGAAATATATATACTTCTAGACCTAGTTTTTAAACAGTTTGTCTGCAAATTATTTATTCTGACTAATTATTTAGAAATTAGTTATACATTGAAGTTGGTTCTCATGGGACTGAGTGAAGTTGGAAGTGAGAGATTCACTCACCGATGACGTCAGATGACAATAACCGAGTCATACGTTGGGTCGACTAAATCTGAGAGTTTGAGACGATTTCCATCCGACTGAGTGAGATAATATTGTCGTGTCAACAGTTAGGGTTGGACTCCGTAGTATTTTTCGTGTGTGGATTAGTGTTCACATATGTGACAAGCTTTCAACAATTAATAAATACCTATTAATTATTATTAAGTGGTCTTGAGCAGATCTGTGGTTAATATCGGTATGTGATAAAATTTGTTTCCGTATTAATTAATTGAAATCATTATAATATATTTGCATAACTCGTAGCTCTTACTGTACCTTAGTAATTATCTCCGAAACTCAATTGAGCAGTGCATTAGAAAAGGGTAAATGATAACAACTTCAAGTTTACGTTTCTAGGTCATAACTTATGGTTACAACACCAACCGAAACTATAAATTGTTATTCTTTTCATCTCTAATTAGTAACAAATGAGTAAATTATCAAATATAAAACTATTCACCCCTACTGTTCTGCTGGTTATGATTTCACTACAAATGCTACTTTAAAACCTTAAAAGACCATAAAATCAATACTTTCAACTTATAATTTATGTCATTCAAATGATATGTGGTTTAGGGTAGTCGGAAGGAAACACTTTACGTAAGGTTCGTGTTAGTTAGTATTCGTCACTAAGATGTACCTGAAGTCTTAAGAGAAGTTATACATTTTTTGTATTTAAACCAGTATCTCCCGGTTTCATAATCTGAGATGTTGGTTCTGGACTATTAGGGTCTTGAGTGACCTGTAAGACTGAAGTATCAAAATGAATAATCCGTGGGTGGTAACTAATGTCATGTTTGACTAATCCTTATTGGTGTTCAAATTCTGCCAATTAATTGCAATTTATAAGCAACTGGATTCTAATTCTGTGCTTTGAAGATATCACAATTGCTACACGACCTTAAGATCTATGGTTTAATTTGGTATAATATCGTTAGTGTGCATTATTGAAAAGTCTTAAATTAAGAGAAATAATTTGTCCATCATGTTCTGAATGTCAGTAGTTTATCAGGTGATCTCAATTTAGCTCTAAATTGAAGAAATATGTATCAAATCCTTAATTTGAACAAGTTGAACGCATTTATAACTGTTCTAGGACGTTTTCTAAAACAGATCGAAGGTCGACTGAAAGTACTGCTAATAAACATTAGTTTTGGACTTATTCATTTTTTGTGACTTGTCAACAATGCAGTTGTAAATTGTTTACAAGGATAAGTATGTGAACTTCACGTCATGTTGACAAGCATATTATCACTGGAAAGACGTAGTTCATTATTCCTGATTTAAAACGATAATACCAATCAGCTACTGATTCATACTTTATTTTATCATCACTTAAATGTGATTGTCATCTTTTTTGAACATCTGATAATGAAGCAGTTAGAGTAGGCAGTGGAATTCATTAGCTAAATTGTGATATTTAATCCTATGGTAAATCGCCTTAGTTTTTATATTATTTTATAATATGTGAGATGGACATGTTACACAGTTTAACTTCATGTGAATGGTATGATCACAACCAATATGAATATGATCAGTCTGGTCAACATAGATTTTTGTGGAATTGTAGCTAATTATCTCTTCTACTCAAACCTTTATTTATTAAAATTTAAAGAGTCAGATAACTAGGGTTATGAATATGAACTATTGAAAAGTCCTATACTAACACAAAAGAACTTTCCAAAACTTTCTAGTGTTCAACTGTTGTTCAAACAAAATAAGTCCATGATGTATAAAATAAAACATTTGTAACAATGTTAAATAACATTTAGACACTGAGTACAACGATAACGTAATTAATGTAGATTAACCCAATTCCGTTGCCATAGTTTAGATCGAAAGATTAGATAGACAACCACTGATAACTGGGAAGCATCTAGCTTCTGCTTCATGTTAGTGTGCAACTCTCTAACAGAAAACATCCTTGACCTCACCACAGAGGATTGAACCTAGGATCTTTGATCTTGCTAATAACACTAAACTTCTGGACAAATGAACTAAGATCCATTGGTATACATCTCCAACCATCTTCTGTTGCATGCAGTGAATAACCGTCTTACATGTAACATAATTGAGCTTCACAAGTTACGGTTTTTCACGAGAACTCAAGGAACTGGATCCCGAAATTAGAAAAGATTAGAAAATCGAATAGTGATTCACTGACAATTGGCTGGTTCATAGAATTTTGATAAGATTTTATTTATTAATTATTTTCAAAATTTAATTTCACACATATTTTATATCTCAAGTAGAATTATTGTGTTTTATTAATTTTTACAGAAATCCGATGAATCAAATTGAATTGAAACAGAAACAAAAAGAAATTGAATTCATAAACTATTACATAATTCTGTTGCGTAATGGGATTAAATATCTAACTGGCACATATACATACATATATATCTCTCATTTGGATGAGGGAATGAAATCAAAGGAAATGATGAGATTATAATTTTTTTATAAAGTCATATTCTCATTGTCATGGTAACACATCGAAATCCACTTGAAATGCTTAGAACAAAATATGATTGAAATATAACACTTAAATTATATTAATTTTTAAAATATGATTTTTCGGATAACAACCATAATTGTTGGATGTTAACCAAAAAATTAATAACCATATTTATTTAAAAAGGATATGAAAATTAGGGTCTGCAAGATGATTTAGTAGCCCTATACAAAAGGTTACCAGAAACTAGATCATTCAAAATTATCTTACATTTAAGTCTTAGTAAATGATGTTATTAGCATGGTTCAATTTGATTTCCATTCAATTGGTTTGATTCAGGCATTTAATGGCCAGATTCCAACGTTTCGTGATACTGTAATGATTTCGAAAAATTCGACTATCGTACAGTAAACATAGTGATTTTTGAATGTGAAATACTAGTGAAAAACTGTGATTACTTGAACTGAGTTCCTTATTATGATGACATTTTTAATGTTGATGATTGTTTAATTAACTGTTACTCGTATTAATTTATAAAGGATGTCCGAACTTCAACTAGAGATTGCGTTGTGACCATAATTTATGGTTGAACAAAATGCTAGAATTTCAGTTTTCATAGTGAAAAGGATTGACTTCAAATCGTCATATTAGTTCACTTTATTTGCTTGTGCTTTTAAAATTGACAAGAAGAGAATGGTATAGAAAGTCAAAAATCCTTGGAATATGCACTAATGAAGAATCTCGTGCTGAGAAGAAACGGTTATCCAATGCTTCCTAGTTTCAAATTAGTAGTCCAACTGGGATTATTGACAATCAAAAGTTAAACTATAATCATATGTCTAATGATGACTTGCAATTAAGTGAGTTCCTAAAGTTTTAGTGGAATGTCGTGAAGGATAACGTGGAATATATTTGGATGCTCGTCGCTTTATACCACAAGTTCATTGAAGCTGAAAGCGTGAAGCACTAAATGTCAGCTCAATGGTATAACAGTAAATAAGTGTTTGTGAAATCCAAAGATCTTCAATTCGATTCACAAAGGGATGCGCATTGTTGAGGAGTCCATTCAATGTTCCCTGATATTAAATAACAAATGAGTCCAATATACAAACACTTTTTTTTATGGTTACACTACTATCCATTTAATATTTTCATTAAGATTGGATCTGTAAAGTGAACTGACAGGATTTTATTTCATACTTGAAGTGAAAGGTATCAAATGTGATCGTATTATCAATGTTTTTTATTGAATCATATTTTATTTTACATAAGAAAGTGTGTTTTATTTGGTGCCAAGCAGAATTCTTATAGTGTTTTGTATATTTATCTTATTGTACATTCTTTTGAAAAATGGGAGGAAAATATAATGGAATTTATGTGGTGATGAAATGAACAGACATTTAAGGTTTGGAAATGAATGACAGATAAGCATTGACAAAATATATGTAAGGCCAGTGAAATATCTCTGAGGCCTAGCCAAATCATCTATTAAGTTAAAGTGTTTATACATTAGACGGCAGATAGCATAATGTTGATTATTTTCCCAAGGTTAAAGATGACCAACACGGATCAATCAATCACTCGATATGGACCGGTCCATGAGGCAGCATCATTACTTTTTAGTTCTTTAGTTCATTCTTCTAACAAACATTATTATTTTGGTAAGATTTTGTTTGTTGTACGCACTCACCAAAGTAGGCTTAGTACCTGGGTACCAATAAAAGGTAAATCAGGTTGAATATTAACTGCGAGATAAGACTTTGACGCAAACTAGGAGTTCATACTATTAACATCCAACTCGAGTAGATCCACAATCCACATAGCTGATATATATATATATTTCAATATAATTTCTGAGGATTCACAAATGGAAAACATGTTGAAGTGGGATATATAACGCTAATCTACCTTTATGTGTTGAGAATCATTTACTATAATCAAACATTTAGCATTGAATAAGGTAAATATTGCCATAATAATAACAACATCAAAATATTTCTTTGATTGTACCAAACATACAGAACTGCTTTCCCTTTGCAGGTTCGTTTTTACATTTCGACTTATCAAATGATTAGTTGAAATCGTCATTCATCATGTCATTAACTAAATTTTCATATTACTTCATCGCGTCATTTAATCATGAATGGAATCAGTCCTCAAATGAAAGTCTATAGTTTTATGAAGAATACGAGTATTTATAATCTAATTCGAAGTGAATCTTATCAAATTCCAGTATAAAATCTTAAAGCAGATGATTTCACTCGTCTTTAAGAAATGGATGACAAAATTTTAGGTTAGATCGAAAATAATATAAACTACTGAATTGCAATTAAACGACCGGAAGTTATTGCATAATCTGTGAAACATTAATTTTCTACTTAGTTAGAATATATGGTTTGTTGCTATAAGTAAAGTTTAGGACATGTATTTCTTTTTAGTTATATTTTATCAATTGAGTGTACCTTTATCCCAGTAATAAGGTTTACATAATGTCTCAAATCTAATAGTTCTTCTTCTAAATGCCAAACATGTTATCTCCTGTACACTACATAGTCGAAATAGCCAGTGATCGCTTCATTGTGTAAGATACTTATTTAATCATTGAATGGATAAATTTCAACTTCAAGTTGATTATTGAAATATTCCGTGTTATCATAAAATATCTTTTTAGTTCTTCCGACTTTATTTTTTACAGTATTTATTCAACTAACACGGATTATATATTGAAAACTTTTTTCTTACAGAAAAATTTTACAAATTACTTTATTTAATAATAGTTTTGTTCTTATGTTCAATTATTGAATGAACAAAAGTTAGAGGTTAGAGGTATGAGGACAGTTATCACTTCCTGGTTGGCTACACCATGGAAAGGTTCTTCTAGAGGTATCTGAAAAGGAAATCGGGTTGGAAGAGGTCTTAATGACCTGAGGGCGTGACCGCAGTGCCAAAGGGACAACTGCTTGAGGTCAGTCATACACGATTTTTTTTTGTGTAATTTTTGTGTTAGCTCCGTTCTTCAAAGGACCTTACCGCCGGAGACGGGTATCCGTGGGATAAGGTGAGGTGTACATCTTTTCCAACCACACCCATCCTTGTGGGAAGGCAGCATCGTTGTTATGCTGGTTGTCTGAAGGAATCACCTTACTACTGCCACACCTCTGTACAGTCAGCAGTACGACTTCGCCTTCGGACCTTGGGATTGCTGCTTTTAGTCTTACCGCTCTTCAACCGACCTGCCTGGCATGGTAGGACCTTGAGGAACGATTGTTACAGCCAGTATAGCTCGATTGGTTCATCATGATAGGCAAGCCCAATCACAACGTCAAGGTAGCAGCAACGGTCGAGACAATGGCTAGCAGTGGAATTCAGGACGCGCGTTTCGTCCTGTTTGGGACTCGTCAGCTGGATGTACCTGCATTCCAGTGTTGATGTTCACTCTGGGACTCGAACCCAGTACCTTTCGCTTCAAATGCCATTGCGTTATCCACTTAGCTACTGAGTCCTAATCAACAACAAAAACCCCATATAAATCCGTTTGAAATATGAGACTTTTTCTTTTTCTAGAAAGAGTAAAAAGAATATGGAACAAAATAAGATGAGTAAAATATTTTTGACAAAAGACATCAGAGTAAATCATTATTGCATCTTAAATTTAGTAAGAAGAAAGAAAAGAAATAATGAATTAACATATTCTCCTGTTGTTACTAACGTGCGGTAAATTGAAAATGTAATCTTTTGTCGAGAAGATTCACTTTGGAAGCATGATTAAGGTGACCACATAAAAGTCAACTATTTTTAAAAATTATTTTATTCAGGTTTATTAAAAAGTGAATATAAATTAGTATCACTATTAAAGTATTAAAAATAATGATACAAAAGATTCTTTCAAGGAGCACAGTAAGATGAATTTCTTATTATGAACTTACTCTTATCAAACAAGAAATGTAATAGATTAATTGTATGGTTGCTAAGTATTTTTCCTTAAATAGTAAATTTATAATTCTTGTATATTTGAAAAATAGTTATTTAACTAATGGTAGTGTTGTTTTCACTAACAAGTTTTTTGCACGTTCTTTTGCTGTAGCTGCGTAAAGTGAGATTTGAAATTTAAAAAGAAATCGTGAGATTTACATAACTGAATGGAGTAGACAAAGACAGATGATAAAATGAAGAATTTATTTACCTCTCAAATAATAAGATAAGTTGTTAGTTAATTGCATACAATTATATTTGGAAAAAGTATTTGACGCAATTTGATGATTGATCAATGAATAATATATCTAACTGGAATAATGATAATACTGTAATGAATGAGAACACAAGTGAAGAGAATCGGATGTATTTGAACACAAAATCACAGAATCTCTTAGTAAAATCTTAAAACTATACAGTACATACTTCATTTGGAAAATGTCAATCAATCGTCTCAGACTTTATTATTTCTTCATTTCCATACCAATCATTATTTGTTTTCGTTCTCTTCTATCTTCTTAACCTTATGCCTCCAGGCATTTCACTTTCGATTGATGCGACATACTACTTATATCTGTTGACATCAGTAGCATACACCACAATACAAATAAATTTTACTGTGAGTTAACATAGAACCAATGCTACATGTTATACTGACCGAATATCATACTGAATTAAAATCTGATCTCTTATTTTATCTTATTCTAACAGTTTGATCAGTGTGAATTAATGTAACCCGATTCTGCCATTGAATAAAAATAAATAGAAGCCAATCAAGGAAATTTTCTTTCAGAGGAAATCACTGACTTAAATTCACTTGGTATTATTTGTTTCAATCTTCCCATTGATGTTTAGGACTGTAATTGATCAGTCTCTTATCAGCATATGTGGATACTGTGCGTATTGCCTCGATATAGCCTGAATTCACAAGCATTATAAGATAAGATGGATAATGGCTATCAGTGGAATCCAGGACGTGCAGCCCTAAATATCAATGGGAAGATTTAAACAAATAATACCAAGTGAAT